GTAAACGCTCTGCTGGGGATAACTCGCCTACCCAGGACAACTTTTTACTTGTTTCCAGACCCTTTGAACATTGATAACAATGCGTGCGGTTACCAAGCATAGGTAAGTTGTCCCGGGTGGTAGGGTAACCCTACCTGTGAAATTTTGCTTGTAAACCCGGGCTATCTTTTACCCGCCTGCTAGGGTAACCCTAGCACAAGGGTTACCCTCCTTGCTTGTAAACAGGGCCTAAATCATGGGTATCCGCGAGATGAAATCTGATACTGAACGATCAAAATTTTTCATTGCGTCACACAACTAAAGAAGAACAAATTGAAATACAAATGTATGGTCTTGGGAATTACACTTTCTAGCACATTTCGTCCAAACGTATTCCAGAATTTCGATACGTAATACAGTGTTTGAATGCTTGCACATCCGGTTTGAATAAACAGCTGAAAGTGAAATTTGCGTCAAGTTCCGCAAAGACTAAATTACGTCACGGTTATTTCTTACCGGCCAATTTTATCGTTCCTGTCTGTACCCGATACAACTGAACTAACACTAGCTTCACGATAACAAGCTCACCTTGCTCAATTGTTTTGCGTCCGTGGACAAATCATGTCATGTCCGCTCTGGGTGACCGTCAACAAAATAGGGTGCCCTCCGGTTATATCGTCCTAAGCGGGCTACACTAAAAGAAACCATGGAAAACTATATCTCAAAGTAAAGCTTATATAGTATAGATTCTGAAAATAACAAAAGTTTTGACAGTTTTTGTTTTGTTAGGCACGCGCAAGCCTATAAAGATAAAACTGACTATGTTTCTAGTTGTTTAACTGAATTACCAGTCTTCGCGTTACCGCGGACATCCAAACAAACTGGAATGTCTCTGTCAGCAGACAATAGGCTAAAAACCGTTGTGAGGCTTTTTCGATATTTGTTTTGGTTCCCGTGAAAATCTGTTTTTAAGTTGGACAAAACAAAATACTTCTGTGGTTGTCACGCGCCGGGAAGGCACACAAAAGAGATTAAATTTCGTTAAAGCCTCACACTGTTTGGTGCATCAATATCTGACGAATATTCTGACCAAGTTTCCTCAAAATCCGACTAAAATATATACCTTACTAATACAATCACTTCTTGCGTAAAAATCTACGAAACCAGCGAAGTGGAACAACTGTTGCCGTTTTTTCCGTCAGCTAAACGTATAAGTCCGATTCTTCCTGGGAAATTGTATTGTCTGAAGCTTTTTTTGTCACACATTTGTCACATGCACATGCTCTTGTGAAGCAAACTTCAAGTTCATAAAGGTCTTGTTCTAATCAGTTTCTGCAGATAAACACGTGTTGCGGTGTAGTGCCAATCTTGTGACTGAGATCACGCATTTGCCTTTTAACTGCGTTAGCCGTTGTTTGATCTTTGAAGAGCAGACTCACTGGTGCAACGCTGTTGACTTCATTGTTTTTCTCTCTTGTGCCATATGAAAAGCTCTGAATGGTTTTGGAAATGGTAGAATTAATTATTGCCAAGGGATAATCAAGTCGAGTAAAGATGGAACGTACTAGCGTATTCTTGATTGAAGGCTTTAGTTGTTGAGGATAAAGCATACAAATGCACGATGGATTATTGTTTTGAGTAAGCAATCTACATAGAGCTGGAGAGCTTTCAGTTCACAATTCAGTCAATTCAAGATCATTTACAAGATACAATTGATAAAATTAGTATACGAAAATTCCTTAAAAAATTCAAACATCATGCATGAAACAATGTGCATTCAGCTTGAAAGTTGCCCTAAAAAATAAAAATAAAAAAGTTGCCCTAAAAAATAAAAATAAAAACTTCAGATACCCGCTTATTTTGCAGTCTAAGGAGTGTTCTATCTTGCTGTGAAAAGGTGTTCGTGAACCTCTCACGCATGCGTGTACCGATCTTAGTAGTTCGAAAGAGATGTGACCTGAGCCATGCGATAACGGTGTCATACGCCTCGGTGTCCTTCTGAGCTATCTTATCTGCAAGATGCTTCAGGGAATGCTGGCACCCATTTCCCATTCCGCCATTGGCTGCAAACACTAAAGGTGTGAATGAACCCATCTCTACATCTAGCACCCGCTGCTAGTACTTGCGTTCATCTCATTCTCTCGCTCCTTGAATACTTCGGATGTTGTCTTGTTCTGGTAAAGCTTGGAGTTAACGTGCGTAACTCTTACCTCAAAAAAAAAATGCCGTACCTCCTCTTGACCAGAAACCTCCCGCCTTGATGTCTAATCTTGCCTCAGAGCTTATGACGGCACTTCTCAAGTGTAGCCGTTCGTTGTCGAGGGGGTTGAAGGCGTGGTTCAATTTCCACATTGTTGCAAACCTTATTGATGAATGCCGTTAATAAATAATTAATAATAATTAAGTCGAACCAGCGGAAAATCGTGAGCCAAACAGTAAAACAAAGAACACCAAACGGGCTAAAGGCCAAAGATATGACAGCCAAGCGCCAAAGACTGGACAGAATACTCAACAAACACCAGTTAATTCCACTAATCGTTTCGCTCCGCTTGGTCATGAGGATAAGGATTCCAATCAAAATGCCAGTTCCTCTGATAACTCAACAAACAACTTTACAACTGTGCATGTTGGCGATTCAATAATCAAGCAAATACAGGGCTGGAAAATGGGCGAGAAAGTGGGTCACCGCGTAGTTGTGAAATCTTTTTCTGGTGCCACTACTAGCCGGACATGAAACACTATTTAAAGCCGACCCTGGAGAAAAATCTTCAGCAGGTCCTTCTCCATGTTGGAACAAACGATCTCCGAGACCAGAATCCGAATGTGGTCGTTGACAATTTTGTGGAACTTGCAAGGAAAATTGAAAGTGAAACAAGCGCCCGGATTATATTATCGGAACTGGTGACAAGATCGGATAACATTTCCAGTGATTCAGTGAAAATTGTTAACAAGAAGCTGAAGAAATTCTGTAATCAAAACAACTGGAAACTCGTCCAGCACCAGAACATCGCGATAAAGACTTAAATCAGAGTGGACTTCGCTTAAATAACAGAGGTAACAATATTTTATTCAATAATTTTGTAAATTGCCTAGATAATCGGTCTGCATAATTACCACATATTTCTTCTATCGGCCACTCAAACGGACTTGTTTTACCCAGCCAAGGTCACTCGGTTGATTGTCTACCTATTATGCCCGATCTTACCATGAACTTCCCGCTACGGCACGTGGGGTAAAATCAAACTTTTGATTCTCCCACCCCTGGCCTCCATGTTAGGAGTTTTAAGATAGCTGCTCTAAATTTTGCCAGCCTTCCTGGGCTTATTGAGGAATTAAAGCCCTTTCATAATATTCAAAACTATCAAATTGAGATTGAAATTCCTTATTAGTCGTATAACAATCATCACAAAAAACCCAATAAAATTCAGGCAAATAATCATCTTCATTTATTTCATCGTGAATTTTATTAGTACATCTACATAATATTAATACCAATCCACTATTTTCTTTTACCAAGCGTTCTTTAACTTGACCATTATTTATATCTATATATAAGAAAATAATCTTTAAGTATTTCTAAGATTATTCATCAATTCGTTAATCAAATGAACTAAATTCTCATTTTCTTCTAAATAATATTCAATATCCTTAACAATCATATACAATGCCACGATAAAAGTCAACATCTATATATTTATTAATGATATTATTACTTTAATTCTTCTTTAACAAGTTTTCTAAAAGTACTTTTTTCTTTCTTTGACATATTTTCATAATGTTCAATCAGAAAAAATCTTATGCTCGCTATAAAATCTCCTCGCAATATTGGTAATACTTGTCTTAATAGTTTTAAAAATGTTTGATTATCTATTTTCTCTAATTCTCTCATTCTTTATATCTATTAATTATATATTTTCACAATGGTTTGAACTGGTTTGAACAAGTTTTATGAATCCGCCATTTTGAATTCTTGGAATTCACGTGAGTCTGCGTTTTTGGATTCCGACTTTGTTGTAAATATTTTTCAATATAGTTTCTAAATTTCTGGAGACCTGAATTTTTTCGATGTATTTTTCAAATTTTTAGGGAACAGTTTTTGGATTTGGACTTTTGATATCAGATTTTTTTTGATTTTGGTCCCCTAAGTTTTCTTTGGTCTTGACACCCCAATTCCAATGCTACTTGCTCGTATATTAACCAATTCTGATTATATGACGTCATCTTGTTTTTTACATGACTTTGGCTGGGATACACTCGAAGAAAGGCGTACTAAACAGCTAGCAATACTTCACTTTCGAATTCCCGTCACATTTCGGTCACAGTCTCCCTCACGGCTGGCCGAGTCTTCAGACTGAGGCTAACACAGCGTGCTTCGTGTAGTTTTCCTAGCAAACTGTTGTTTACAACTTGACACATGACTTCAAGCGATAATTTTAGCAATCTAAATCATACATGCATGCATGCATACATGTATACATACATACATACATACATACATGCTCTATTTGTTACGTAGGTCGATAAGAGGCAGCTAAAAAGCTGATGTGGACCTACAAACTAAAGTGTATCTACAAAATTTAAATAGTAATAACAAACTTGTGAATTTATGGTAAGTAAGAAAAGATGTAATACCTAGTAAGATGATTTGCAGTTAATTCACTGTAGTGTTAAAAATAAATAGATAGATAGATAGACGTCTATATTTATACAGGATAGCCCCTTCAGTGTAGTAAACACTGGTATCAACGGGGGTCCTGTTACCCACCCATCCCACCCCAGGGGAGGACATCCACCACACAGTAATCTC